GAAACAAGCCTGCTTCTCCGCATTGGGTTGGTCAGAACCGCTTTCCTCCAGGCGCTGGGGGTGTTGGGTGAGGGCACTGGGGGTGTGGGCACCTCAGGGGACGTGTCCCTCTCCTGGGGGGTGACTCACAGCCAAGAGCTCCGCGGGGCAGTGGAGCATGTGTGGGGGCTGGGGCTCAGAAGCGGACCCTCGAGGCTGTGGAAGCCTTGACTACTGGAGTCTGGGGGACAGGGGAGCCGTTGTGTTTACACTGCCGCAGCCTTTCTGGTTTTTCTCACAGCTTTGGGGATGTGCCTACACCCGCACATCCACACCCATAAGTACCGGGGAGCCACCTGCTTGATGCCCGCAGAACAATCGCAGGCTGGCTGAGCGTCCCCGTTGGCAGGTCCCGACAGCAAGAGCTGGGGGAAGAGGGGCGTTGCCCGGGAGTCCCCCGGTCTCCTCCCTCTCGCGGCCCCTCGGCCAGAGCTCCAGCCTGTGCTCACGCCTCGCCAGCCCTGACAGGCGGGCTGGGACCACCAGGGCCAGCTCAGCTGGGCGAGCCAGGGTTTACTCTTAGGGGTTCCTTTTGTCACGGATGGATATCTGAACAAAGTCGGGGCTCTGTTTGCAAGGGGCTGGGGTCGGGGACTGGAAGCTGGGTAGGCAGTCACTGTCCCTCTGAAAGCAAGGTCCTGTCCTCCACATCAGAATGAGCCTGTCCATTCCTGCCCCAGCCCTCCCTGCAGAGAGGGCATTGGTTTCCTGAAAGGCTCGATTCCCGTTAAGGGTTGTGAACCAGCAACACACTGTTGCCTCGTGAGCTCGCCGAGCGGAGGGGACCTGCTTTGTTCCTCTCCGACAGCGCGTCACCCAGCACGGTTCCTGGTGTGCGCAGAGCTCGGTATTTGCTGGACTGGATGAGCGTTTATTCAGGCACGACCCCATTCACATCTTCTTTCCTCGTTTATTCTTTTGGTGACTCCACCTGCTGGTCTGGGTTGCAGCTGGAATGGAGAAGGACATTTATTGCCACTGAATGAGGAAGGGTCAGAGTGAGCAGGCAGGTGGCAGGTGGAGCTCGGAGGTGTTCCCGGAGAAGCAGGTCAGACAGACGATGACTCCCGGAGGCTCTGGAAGACAAACCAGCTAAGCAGATGGGCAGAAAACGAAACGTGCTGTTACTGCAGAAACTTCCAAGTGGCTGCAGGAGCGAAAACCTTCGAGAAGCTGATGAAACTGGCACGTGGACTGCGTCTGTCTTCATTCACATGGACTTAACCCGGAATGAAAACACGGTCTTAACTGGGATCTTCCGTTCACAGCCTGCGTTATTCTCTCCCTTACTTTCGCCTTTTCTTTTCGGCCTGGCTTCCTAACTCCTGGGCGTCTCACTCCGGTACATCTGCGGCTTCTCAGCTGGGGTGTGTGTGGGGTGTCAGATGCGATTGCACGGCGAGCTCCTCCTGTCTCTGGAGTTAGATGTTAAAGAGACAGAAAACAGGGCTCAAGACCACGTGTACCTTGGCTCTGAGTTAGACACCCGACAGCCATGTTCCTGGACCTCATTATCGCAGCTCCCCGCAGAAGAGCCTCCGGCGAATTCAGATTCAGCGTCACGTCTTCAGCTTTTGCAGAGGGCAGCCAACACAGAGCCGGACTTTTGAGGAGCACATCTGGGTGCGCCACAGAAGCACAGTGAGTGACTTTATCCTGTTACCCAAAGTCCTTTTCGTGAGACCCTGCAGGGCGGAGCAAGGTGTGTTTCCCCAAATGAACTTTCTGTTGCCCTCACAGTGGCGAGGGCGCCCATACTGTCACAGGGCACTCGGCACCGAGCGTGTCCCCAGTGGCAGCGTCGGCCACATCCCTAGTGCCTCGTATCTGCTCATTTGCTCCCTTCAGCCTGACTTTGATGTTGTTTTTATTATTTATTTTTCTGTCGTGTATCATGGTTGATTTCCTAAGTTGCCGCAAACGTTTATGGATATGTGTGCATGTGCTCTTTTTCCTACTTACCTACCAGTCTACCCACCCACCCACTTACTTACTTACCTACCCATCTACTTACCTACCCACCCACCCACCTACTTACCTACTCATCTACCCACCTACCCACCCACCTACTTACCTACCCATTATAAAAGAAATGCTTATATAAGCAAATACATAAAGACTCAAGGATGTGGAACTGATATATTCCTGTTTGACATTCAAGTGGTTTGGACTGCATTTCAGAAGGTCACCTTTGGTACAAGTGAAGTTTTAAAATTTGGATCCAGCAAGGCCAGGACAGCATCGTGACCTTACCTCTAAGATGTCCAGGTTACTTTTCGCCTTGCCCACCAGTTCCTTGCAAGAATCCTAAGGACGTCTTGGGCAGTGAGGAGAGACCTAACCAGGGGTGAGTGGTCTGGGCTCTATAAGCTGGATGGGCTCCTAGCACACGGGGTCCATGGAGAGGGAGGCCAAGTCCGGCCAGACCAGCAGCCACTGAAGAAATGTGAAACCACCGCACGTGTTTCTCAAAGTCACTCTCCCTTCAGTGCTTGAAGCAGATAGGCCTCTGTCATAAACGCGCTAATTGCTTATCAAATATTGACTAACACTGAGTCGTTTTCTTTCCGGGCAAGTCACATTCCTAAATCATTAGCAAATGAGAGGTTTGTGAAAAAATTTGCCAAAGCCTCTGGGTGTGTGTGCACATGGTTAATGGTCAGCAAATAGATAGTTTTCTTTATTGCCTGGAGAGTCTGTTTAATGTTTAATCTGAAAAAATTTTACCACTCACAGGTGGTGTCTAAAGTGGTCACCTTCACAGAAACAGAAAGTAGAATGGGGGCTGCCGGTGCGGGGGAGGCGGGGAGCGGAGTTCTTGCTCAGCGGGGATGGAGCCTCAGTTTTGCGAGATGAAGAAGCTTCGGTGGTCTGTTGCAGAACAACGTGAACATGTGAACATACTTAACGCCGCTGAACTGTACGCCCAAAACTGGGTGAGGTGGTAAATTTTATGTTATGTGTTTTTTACCACAGTTGCGAAAAATCGTAGAGGACATACGTGTAGCAAGTGAACATACTTCCATAGATCTTATAGTTTGAATTCTTTTTTGGTTGATGGAATTTTTCTGCTGTGAGAAGAGGCAAAGCTTACAAAGGAAAAGGCTTCTTTTTCCCTGAATCTTAGGCAACGTCTCAGGCTACTGGTGAGCAGCAGTTAGTTGAACATCTGTTTAGTCTATGGCGGTGTGTCTGTAACGTGAGTTCACGTGTGTGGAGAATTTGAATGCCCTTCTTTACATTTCACTGGTGGTCATATGTGTTTTCTTGTGCAAAAGGAAATCACAGCAATGCTTATTAATGTTTCAGCCACTATATAAATCACCCATTAAGGAAGATATTTCTGAATACATACCCAAGAGGAATGAAATTAGGGTCTTGGAGAAATGCTTGTACACCCATGTTCATAGCAGCAATATTCACAAAGGCCAAAAGGGGGAAGCAACCCAGGTGTCCATCAACAGACAAATGGATGAGCGAAATGTGGCTGAGACAGTGGAGTGTTACTCAGGCTCGCCGCCCTCGGCTCGGGGCAGGCGCCCCACCCTGGGGCCGGGTGAAGCCCGTGACGGCCGGACCGTGGGGTTGGCCACGCGGCCACAAGGGCCCGAGGGAGCGGTGCTCGCTAAGCAGCCGTCCTCGTTCTCTGCCTCCGTAGCTACCTCTCCACCTCGTCTTCGCTCAGCGCCTCCTGCTTTCAGGCTCACGGACCACAAGTTCCCTGGAGCCCGTTTTCCCAGCCACGCCAGAGGCGCCGTGCGCGGGGCTGTCTGTCTTTCCCTGCCGTGCGGGGACGTGGCGGGCAGTCGGCCCCGGAGGAGGCCCTGGCCGCCCCCCACCCCCGCCCCGACCTCGGACGTCCAGCCTCCAGAAGCCTGAGCGGCACGTTGCTCATGCTTTACCCCGCAGTCTGCGGTGCTGAGCTAAGACGGGGGCCGTGACATGTCCTCGGGTCCGGGGATGTTCTGAGCTGAAGGGGGAGGAGAAAAATGACTGCGTCTCATTCATGTTACTGACAAGTGGAGATGAGCTGCATCTTTGACACTTTAAAGTGAGCGTTTTAAGAAACGTGGCGAGTGATGTCACAAGTGCGAATGGGTCATGCTCTTCCCAGTGCAGGGGGACCCGCTGTAAGTTCCTCCCGTCTGCCCACAGCATGTGCTGAAGCCCCTCCTCTGTGTCGCGCGCGCGCACGCTGTGTGTGTGTGTGTGTTTGTGTGTGAAGGGATTGTTCCCTCCTGGAACCAGAGCATCCTTGGAGCCGACGCCAGGCAGACTCCGGGTTTTGCCACTCCCCCGTTGGGTGGCCTTGGGCAAGTGATTAAGTCTCCCTCGCTTTAACAGGATCAGTGACACGATTTGCAGGGCCCAGTGCAAAATGAAAATGCGGGCCCCTTTCCAAAGACCATCAGGAGGGCACTCAACCACGTGGGGTCCCCGAGACAGTAGACTGTGCACCCAGGACGTGTGGGTGAGGCCGTGACCCAGCACCCTCAACACAGCAACCCTGAGGGTAGCCTGGCACGAGTGCCGCACAGGGGACAACACAGGTTGAAACAGACGCCACTCGACCAGGCGCTTGGCCCAGCTGCGCCGGGTCAGTGGAGCCTCAGGCAAGTCTCCAAGCCCTTAGTGTCCCCACCTGTGACGAGAGGGAGCCACTCACCTCACCCCCCCGACAGGTGCCGGGAGCACCGAAACCCACGTCCCCGGACACCCTCTGTCCTGAGCAAACTGGGTGCCGGTCCATCAGGTTTCCAGGAGGCAGCCCGTGTACCTCGTTTGCCTGAATCCCTGCCACAGATCCACGCGTGGGACAGAGGGATCACCTCCATTTTGCAGGCGTGGAGGCTGAGGTTTGAGGGGTCACTCGTGGTAGCCCCAGGGTTAGAACAGGGCCAGACTGTTTTCATTCCCAAGCCGGTGCTCTCCCCTGCCCCCGGGGTCCCGGGCATCAGAACCATCACCCCAGAGCCAGCCCAGAGCTTCTGAAGACTACTCCACAGCTTGGGGATGGAACCCCAGGATGTGCATCTCCACCAAGCTCCCAGCGGGAGCTTGTGCGCTGGTTCAGGGGCCACATCTGGGGACCACCACTCTGGTGGGACCAGTGTTCTCGTCTTGTTTGCACCTGGGAGCCACCTGGCGACCTGGGGAGACGCTGACACCAGGGGCCCCACCCCAGGGTTCTGTGTACTTGGTCTGCGGGGTGGCGGGGCATCGGGGTTTAAAGGTCCCCAGGAGATCCCAGCATGCCGCAGGGGTTGAGGCCGCTGCTCTGTGCCAGGCGGTCGGTCTCCCGGTGGAAAGAGACGCAAGCATCCTCTCTCTTATCTGGAGAGACATACCAAGTCCAGAACGCCATCGGCTTAGAACCCAAATCGGATAGTCAGAGGCGTGCCTGAGCCCGCATGCAAGATGAAGACAAAACCAGGGCCAAAGAAAACGAACAACAGATGTTTGGGAGACACTGGGGCCTTACGAGTGTTTTCCGTCTCTGACTTTGACTCAGATAAGAGGCGGCTCCCCAGGATGGCTGCTGCCCTCATCCTAAGGGACCGGCTTGAACAGAAGGCCCCCCCCAAGTGCGGGCCTCCCCCCCAGAGGGTCTGAGCTTGCCCCCTTCCCTCAGCCAGGAGGTTCCAACCGCGTGTCTGCCGCACCACTGGCGTCTCAAGGTGCGAGTTGTGCTAAGGTGGGGGTACTACGTGGTGGGGTGGGCGGCCAGATTTAGGAAAAACGAACCCCTAGACAAACAGAGAACAAAATTCCCCCAAGCCAGACGCCCAGGCACATTTAGATCTCAGATGAACGATGAAAAGTTTTTAGTGTGTGTCCCGGGGAACACTTGAGATGTACTTGTAGTGAAGAATTATTTGTTGTTTATCTGAGCTTCAATCCCGCGGGCATCTCGGGTCTCATCCGTAGCCCTGTTTGTGGGGCTTGGTTTCTGTCAAGCCCTGCCCCCTCCCTGGCTGCACTCCAGGGCACACTCCTCACGTTCCCTGCGAGCAGGTGGAAACGCTCGGCATCTCTGCTGTCCTCCCGGAGCCCAGTCCCCAGCCTGGGCTAGGTGGGGAAGGCAGTGTTGGAGCCTGGCCCCCTCGCTTTGTAGTTGTTTGTTTCCTCCTCTTCCTCTCAGGAGCTTCCTAAGGAGAAACAATCGCAGGGGCTGTGCTCTTGGCTGAACGGTGTGCAGTCCTGCGACTTGGTCTGATGTCCATCGTGGGATCGCTGACCCTCTGGAGGAATGTGAACAGCTGCGTCAGGCCAACCGGGCCGCTGAGGGCAGGTGGGACCTGCACTGCTGGGCCTCTGCTGTCGGCCGCCGTGTGGGGGCAGCAGACGCCCGGGGCCTCGGGGCGGAGGGGAGGGGGGCCTGCGGGCACCAGGATGGCTCGGGGAGCAGGGCAGGCCGTGTGGTCAGAGTCACTTTTCTGAGCTGGGGGTTTACGGAAGGAATGCAGAGCCCTGGGCCCAAGGCGGAGCTGTCCTAGTGTCTAACTGGTGCTCAGGGCCTCTGGGGAAACCTGGACAGCGTGTGTGAAGGAGGCGGGGAGGGGTGGGGGGCTCTGCGCACAGGTTGTGTTTGGCAGAGTCAGGAGGGCAAAGAGCGACTTGTAAAGCTCAGCAGAGAGAAGTGAGCTCCATTTCCTCCTCCTGTTTGGCGCCGATTCTGTACTGACCTTTCTGTTCACAGGGCCCCTCAACAGACAGCGAGGCCGTGCTGTGTTCTAGGGGCCTGAGACCCAGCGCTGCTGAGCTGCGGTGAGAAAACTGCTCTCTGCCACCTCCATTGTCACTGCAGTAAATCTACAGACCTGCCCCGAGCCCAGCCGCCTGGACCACCTGGGATTGCGGCTTGTTTATGGGCCCACAGACACACAACGCAGGGGAGCCAGGGAGGGAGACACAGGACCAACAGAGATGCAGACTCTCCAACCAGCTGTTGAAGGAGGGGACCACGTGGGCGTCAGGAATGTGAGTATGAAAGAGGGAGCGTGTGTGTGTGTCTGGATGGCAAGAAGTTCTAGGAGAATTTTGACTTTCCCCCAGCAAATACTTTCTTTTTTATCCTGTCTCTGAAAGGACTTCAGTGGGTCAGACACTGAGGACCCTCACCTGCTGATTAACCATTGGCCCCGAGTCCTCCCTGGTTTCTCCCCGGGGCCCGTGTCCTCCTGCGGCTACACTGGGTTCTCACAGGCCTCATGCGGCCACGGAGTGGGGCGTCATACCTTTATTCCTTCTACTGCAGGCTTGCAGCTCACCCTCCCCCACCAGACATAAAAAGCTGTTAGACAGAGGGGTAGGCGTGAGGCAGGTGTGAGGCCCCCTCCCAGATCCCCCACAGCTGATCACGGAAACGGGAAGCACGTTTGTGCAGTGAGTTCCGAAATACAGCACATCACCTCCATTACCCCTCTAACCCCAGCACCGAGCGGCGGTGCTGTGCGGCCCTGGCGCCCCTCCAGGAAGAGCCTGACCTGAGACGATGGGGAGGCCGACGGTGAGGGCAACTTCGTCCCCTCATTTTCACAGCCGGTGTGGGATTCCTGTCCCTGCTGCGGTGCCAAGAGGTGGCTGAACCAGCAGGTCTGATGAGCAGGTGTGAAGACGTCTGCTGTGTCATCGGTGCTTTCAGATGATCATGAAAACTAATTGAGACCGACCCCTGTGGCTCTGCCGTGTTCTGTCTACCCGTCCGGGCAGCTTCTTTAAAAGGAGCGTTTTCTTTCCCTTCCGGTGCATGTGCTGGTCAAATCCGAGACTTCGATAAGTGAAAGAAATAATGCACTTCGTGGACAAGTTAGAAAAGAGACAAGCAAGAAAGACTGAGGAGAGCCCGGCCCCGCTGTGTTGCGGCCACGGCCATGGCCATGGCCACGGCTGCCGGCTGCTGGGACTCACCTCCGACCTTCCTCGTGGGCCGCGCTCAGCGTGACCTATTTTTGCAGCCCTGGGGTCCTTGCCCACACAGTCTCGTACTCGGGCCTTTCCCTTAGTGTACAGGGCGAGCATTCTCGCCTGCCGTGGAAGTGTTCTAAGGTGATTTTCACGCCTGTAGGCTGTGCCAGGTCAGCATGCTGATTCAATTCTCACCCCTGCTGTCAAAATGTCTAAACGGAAAAGAGCCAGCCCAGGTCTTCTCTCCTGGGGGAAAGCCTGGGCCTGACTTCGAAGGGACCAGGTCTGCCGCAGGGAGGGAGGCTCCTGCACCCAGACCCGCTGCCTTGGGAGCCCCGGGGGCCAGCTTCCTCTCCGCATTGTGGAGTCTGTTCGCTTAAGCGTGACCCACAAGTTGAAGGTATTAATTCGTGTCCCCCTGACCACCCCCAGATGAACACCCGATGTGAAATCAGGAGGGAAAAAAGATGTGCGTCGGAACCACCGCTGCCTGCGCTGCGGGGGATGCCGGGAGGAAGAGACACGGTTACCTCCCCAGGCCTCAGCCCGGCCTTTTATAATCAGCGTCAGGACGTCTTTCATGGCAGGAACACAAAATGAGGCTGCGTCAAAGGGACTCCTTCTGAGAAGAAACTGTTGAACAGGCTTGACGGGTGAGCGGAACTGGGAGGGGCAGGGCGGGTGGGGTGGCAGCTCTCATTCCCAGGCCTCCGAGAGGCCCCAGCAGCGTTGGTGGCTGCCCCCTTGCACCCAGGTGTCCCCTCCGCCTGCGCCACCAGCTCGAGGCCACTGGCCTTGTCCGGGGCAGCGCGAGGCGGCGAGGCGGGAATGCCCGTTACATGGCCTCCCTGATTTCTCCCTCGCCTGGTCCTGACTTCTCCTTTGCCCTAATCTGCTAGTAGATACTCGTCCTCTCTCAGAGACACTCGGGCGTCCAACAAAAACATGGAAAAGAACAGCCCTTTGTTGTCTGCCTTCAGGAACCCGGCTCGGTGAGGCCCCAGCACTGAAGGGCTCACTGACTCACGGTTTCCTTGGCTGGAGCCTCCCAGCACCCAGGGACCTGCTCAGTGCGCATGGGACATGATCTTAGTCACCCTGAGGTCGTCCCCATGGACCTCGAGTCTCGCCCCACGCGTCTCCTCCTGAGCTTGCACCACTGCTGGCATCAGTTGCTTCTTTTTTTTTTTATCATGGATTTAAAATTTTTTAATTTTTTATACAATTTTAATATTCATTCATTTATTTTTTTGTTGAAGTATAGTTTGTTTACAATATTGTGTTAATTTCTGGGGGACAGTATAATGATTCAGTTATGCACATGTAAATATTCCTTTTCATACTCTTTTTCATTATAGGCCATTACAAGGTATTGAATATAGTCCCCGTGCCGTACAGTAGGGCCTTGTTGTTTATTTTATATCTAGTAGTTTGTATCTGCAAGTCCTGAACTCCTAGTTTATCCCTCCCCGCCCTCCCTTCCCCCCAAGGTAACCATAAGTTTGCTTCCTATGTCTGTGAGTCTGTCTCTGTTTTGTAGATAAGTTCATTTGTGTCCTTTTTCCCTAAGATTCCACATGCAAGTGATATCATATAGTATTTTTTCTTTGTCCTTTTAGCTTACTTCCCTTAGCATGACGATCTCCATGTCCATCCCTGTTGCTGCAAATGACATTATTTTATTCTTTTTTATGGCTGAGTAGTGTTCCGTTGTATAAATATACCACATC